GGGCCCTATTTTAACGATCTAAGCGCATGGTCTAAAGCGCACGGTGCAGGTGCACTCAGGGCGTGTCCGAATCCACTTTTGCTAGTTTAACGACGGGAAAACGGTCGGCACGCCCGGGTGCATGGTCTAAACGGGTTGTCCCTATTCTCTTAATGAGTAATAGGTGGTTTTTGGGCATAACGTGCAATAAACCAATCAGAGTCTAACTAGAGTCGCATATTACTAACGCGCTCTTTAAATAACAAAGAAAAAATATTGCGCCAGACTTTAGACCAGGTTTGAGTTGGTCTATGGCGCAGTCTATTTTCAGTTCCTCAAAATAGCAACGCGCCAACAATGCGCCTGAACACACCTCTTTTTTAGACCAGCACGCCCATGGGCGCCAGTGGCTGCTCGAGGGAGGCAGGGGAGGCTCAGTTTCCCCAAAATTTTGAGGTGAAAATGGGAGGAAGACGATTTAATGTTAATAAAATTCACAATTCATTTCAGTTAATGTCTCAGAATGTGTATTTTTTGTTTGTAATTTCACAGCTGTAATACCATAACATGTTAATGAAGTTGGAAAGCGCCGCTTTTCTATCGCGAATGTGCCGAATCTGCTGATGTAATTACAACCGCTGGGTGATAGAGAAGGGGAGGGGGAGGGGGAGGCCGGGGGAGAGCTGAGCTCTCATTCCTCCGTTGGTAAAAAAAAATTAGCCAATCACCATCGAGTGTTCACTTTCAGCGCTGAGGAGTGTTGAGAAAAGAACCCTCGCAAGGGAGGCTAGCCTCCTTCTGATATCAACCAATAATCATAGAGATGTAAATTACGTGATATTAGTTTGAATGTCTCCCGCTGCGCTGATAATGTACCAAGTACTTATGATGAGTAGCGACATTGAATATTTGATTGCCAACAGATTTACCAAGCTGTCATTCAAACAGTATATATACAAATTAACCCTCTACCGCACGCATTATGATAGACCTATAGAAAAAACATATTTGAATCTTTTTCTTTTCTAAGAATGGCTTAAAAAAATTTTGGAGAAAAATATTATTTTAAGGTACTTTATGATATGTTTCCATACGGCAACAGCATAAAATAGTGGATCTAACTTAGAATAAGTGTAAGCTTACTTATAATTCATATTTTTCCTCAGAAATGTTGTTTGTGTTGATATAATTGGTGCTATTATAAGCTTTAACACAGTACTTATAATTGACACCTTATACATACTTTCCAACAACTTGTGCTTTTATTTATTCTATTCTTTTTT